ACGGCCCCCTTGTTACCGCTGCTACATCTCCTTCCACTACCACGTGGAGACTTTTTGTCTTTCATAAGGTAATTCAATTAAAACATATACATAATTTTTCACTTGGTTTTCATAGACATGCATAAATACTGGTGGTAATTAGGCATCTTTGAAGATGTCTGGTTGGACAGGAATTTCTTTTGTTAGATAATTGAATCTTATTTTGTTTTCTAATGGCTGTAGCTGTATGTCAATTTCTTATGGCTTGGTGTATCGTTTTTAAATCCTAGTCATGCTGCAGTTTAGAGGAACATCTCCAGCTTCTACATAGTGATGGAAAATTGCCTCAACCCATGCCAGGCCAACCGCTCTCTAGGAGCATTTGATGAGCTGTTCAAAGCACATTTTGTGTATAATGTCTCTTATCATGCTGCATTAATGAGTTTTTATACATTTTAGCAGACAAAAGTGTATAACATTTACGTTGACAATATGTATGAAGACTAAGGAGTGAGGCAACTTAACCAGCCCCTTGTGCTCTCCTGTGAGTAAGTCAAACTAAACATTTTGACATGCTTTATGTGTAAGAAAATGTAACACAAAAAATCCCAAAATCTCAAATTTCATAAGCCATTTGATATTCAGAAATCCTATGGAGTTTCTGACGAGTGTTTGTTCATTGTACCACAATTTAAAGTGTTGCAAACACAAATGGAAAAATAAATAATAAATAAAGCATCTAAAATTTGTTTTTAATTTTGTTTTATGATTTACCAGTCATAAAGTGGCTTATTTTTTAGTAGATAAAACTTTAATAATTTAAATCAACTCTAACAAAGGAGTTAATATTTGTCCTTGCATCAGTGTTAACTGTTATGTCCACACAGACTTCATTTTACTCTCCCATGTAAGTTAAAAAAGGAACTCTGTTACAGTGTTAAAAACTTAACTATTTCAATTGTGTCAATTAAACTCTTAAGAGTGTGGACCTATATAAACCCTGAAAAAGTGTTAAAATCAACTCTGTCAGAGTTAAATCAACACTTGACTTTTTGCTATCTATCTATCTATCTATCTATCTATCTATCTATCTATCTATCTATCTATCTATCTATCTATCTATCTATCTATCTAGACTAAGCTTATAGCGCATTATCTTATTAGAGTTAATCTGTGGTGAACAAGCAAAAGTTATTTTAGGAGAAATCATTTCAAAATAAATTTTATTCTATCAGGATATTTTAGAATTTTCTAAAGACTAATTACTTAAGCTTACCTTTTAGTGACCTCTAGTGGAGTCATTGAAATCCACATGTGTCACTGAAATCATTCACTTGTTATTGTTGTTATAGTTAACGGTTTTCATTTATGCTGAATATGTAGTAAAATCTAAAGTAAGCTATGGAAAAGAACATGACCTCACTGGGAAATCCCCCTAATGATTTCACTGGGGAGTGGTGGCCTAGTGGTCAGGGCATAGAGCTTGGAATCCTGAGGTTCTGAGTTTAAAAATAGCATTAATCCATGATACCTTAACTAAACCTTGGTTGGAAATTGAAAAAAACAATATCAAAGAGCAACTGCAGCCAGCAGGTGCTAATTTATTACACTATAATAAAGTTATTGATGAGGACACAGAAACTACTTTAGACTCAACTTTTCCTTCAGTTTGACCATAATAAGGCCACATATATACAGATAAAATGTTTTGGAACACTGATCAGGATTAAATGATGCTCCAGCTATTCGTTTAGTCAGGTGAAGCCTTCCCTGTCTGTTGGCTGTCAGTTTTAATCTTATTAGCCGGCACGTTTAATGGAAGCAACTCGTTGTGCTTAACTACTTCTCAGTGCCTCACCTCAGGGACATGAGTCACACATTTCTAACCGTGCATGCCGAATGCGTTTGTTCAAATGTTTGTGAGCTCGTCTGAAGTCACTTAATGGATGTTTGCTTCCTTGTGGTTTGCCTTGGAGCACATGATGACTAAACTTTGACATCACTGCAGTTACAGCGTCTTTGTTAGTGGAAGATTTGAGTAGGTGGCTTTTGGCGTTTAGTCTCTTGCTGTAACAGTGTCTCTGATCTAGAAAGGATAGGTTGGTTGTGTCATATTTTGATAGGACATGTTTGTGAATAGTTGTCTCAATATTTGCCTAATCTTTTATTAGAGTTCCTTGCACCACATTTAAACCAGATTAAATTTATTTCATTAGGATTTTATTAGATAGACCAACACAAAAAAAGCATCTAAGGTAATTAAGAAGTATACAAAATATGATAAAGGTTTGCAAAATGTTTTACATATAAATATAAATATACGAAGTTGATCTCCTATAGTCTGATAAGCCCAAATAAAATCAACTGCAAACTGTTGCCCTAAGAAATATTCCAGCTTTGTAAGCATTTAGGAAACTAATTGAACATATGGTAACAACAATTGTAACAATTAAGGAATAAATCAGATAGGCTAGTCGTAAAGTTGCAAATAAGTAAAGAAATACAAATAAATATATAGCATTGAGTTACTTATGAATGCCACTGGTGATATACTCTTATTATTTAACGATCATTTATGGGACAACCATACATTTACCAGAAAGGGCTAACTAGCCACCAAAGCCAACATGCAGTGGACTCTGTTCCATTACATGTTGCAAGAAAAGAACAAGTTTTTTTTTTTTTTTTTCAGCAGTTGTATTTTAGCACTCTCTGTCTGGTGAGCCACAATTTATTTATTCAATTCTATTGTATTCTATTCTATTTGCATTTTACAGATCACAATGTCTTCACTTTTGGGGGCAAGCTTTCCTTTGAAATGAAGAGGAAATTTCTTTTAGTCTGCTTAGACATTGGAAACAACATATTTATAACTCATCGTGCGAGTCAAGAGCCAGGATTTGTACTGGAATGAAGAGAAAGTGATCTGTAAAATACGTTTTTGAAATAGTGCAAATCTACAAAAAAAGAAATTTGAAAAAAAAATTTCAAAAGAAAAAATAACATTTTAATTATTATGTTTGAGAAAATTACAATGTGAATTTTTTTTAATAAAAAAACTGATAAAACTGTTTTTTTTTTTTTTTTCCTGGATTTATTAACTCGGGGTGAGCTCAACACTAATGCAGACAACACTTTTCAGATTGCATTAGTAATTTTGTTTTAGCAATCATTTTACATGACAATACATTATTTAGTTCTAATTTATTACACAAGCCAAATAAAAATCTATATATTTGTGGTTGTAAGACTTAAAAAGTCAAGGATTATCAATTATCAATACAGGTTTCTACACATGCAACCAATGGGGTAAGAGAAGTTTAAGAAAAACTGTGTTGATATTTTAGAAAAACTAAAGGTTTGCAATCCTGATAATTGAATTAGGATTTCAAATATAGATGTTAGATATTTCAAAATCTAAACATCAGTAAAATTGAGCATGGAGCTTTAAACTTTGTAATAAGTTCTCCTAACTTTCCGTATAGAAAAAATAACATTATACACTATTGTAAGTGGGAACATAAGTTTATTTGGGGGAGAGAAGGGGTATGGGAGGCTGGTTGGAGAAAATCTGCTTTATAATTAACATTTGGTTGAGTTAACAGTAATGATAAAACTGCCACATAAAGGAAGATATATAAAACATCTGTAGAGTAAACAACTATATATTTAGCATACATGGTAGACATTTAAAGCTTTATTAATCAATTGATAAATGCAATCAATGAATTGTTTGCAAGTTCAAACATGTGAAAAATTGCGTAGTAATAAATTCCCAATGTTTGAAGATTTTGGAATTTCCCATATTTCCTGACATTCAATTTTATTTATTTTATGTCAGGATTTTTAGGTTTTCCAAAATAGATTGAAGCCTTGTCTATTAAAGGCTGCTCTCTATGAGCATTTATTATTATCAGACCTAGATCTGAAGAGTTTTCCTAAGCTTTTACAGAAAAGGTTTGAGAAGGCTAAGAGTCTTAAATTGGATTAAAGATGATCTCCTGCTATTGGAGAGAGAGAGAGAAAAAAAACTTTGCTCTTAAAAAAAATGAAATGTTCTGGAACAGATTGTCCTTTCATCTGGGGGTGTTTGTCTGGGGAGAGAAAATGAACACTTAGTCTAATCTATGTCTATTTATCTCACTGATGCTTAGAACATATTGCTGTATTGAAAGTCCAGCAGATCTAGATAAGTTGCATTGAGGAAATGGACGGGAATCCTTCTGTAATAGACATTATTATGCAGGGAATAAGGCTTAGACACAAGAGAAAATTAAGTACATGGGCTTTTATTGGAATAATTTTTGATTGCAGGGTGTGCCTGGGTGGATTTTTTATTAAAAAAAAAACAAGTTCAAGATCAAGAAAAATATAACTTAATGACTGTTTCTGCAGCAAACTGCTCACACGATGGCGCTGTAATGTAAGTGATCTTGGTTGTTGAAAGTTCGTTCAGCATCTATTGAATTAACCAGCAGGTGGCGCCAAAACTCTTGCAATTTCCACAAACGATGGGAGATAAAATAAACAAAGGTTTGGCACTGCTTTGCAAAAAGAAAAAAAAAATATTTCAAAGGTCTGTAATTAAATGCGTCTTAAAGAGAAGCAGGGATCTATATACTCTTTTTTTATTATAACCCCCCACCCCTCTCCTTTTATGTGTTTTGTTGATGAGCTCACACATCTCATATGCACTTTTTTCACTGTGGAAATGTCATGATGGTCTGTTGACGTTATACACCAATTACATTTTCACTGTTATGAGTGTCTGTGTTGTTGTTTTTTTCTTTATTTCTTTCTATAGATCCTTTCTTTTTTTGTATCTGCACCTGTTGTTGCAGAGCGCATTAAGCAATGGTCAAACATTTATTACATCAACAATAGAAAGTTTCACCCTCGCCTCTGGCAGTTACCCGATCTGCAGCTGCGGGCTTCACCGTCCTCCCTCCTCAACGGGCGCGCGCATGACGTGCACTGTTTCCCAGCCAGGGTTCGCGTAGTGCTGAGTTGGTGGATCTCTGACTGCCTGGTGGCTCTCACAGAGCTTTGGCAGCCTAAATGAGGGCGCCTAACGCATTTGGACGACTTACGCCCTCTCTTCAGTAACTTTGATGGGGACCTCGACATTAATCAGGGAAAATGCCTGTGATGAAGGGATTATTAGCGCCTCAGAATACGTTTCTGGACACTATAGCTACACGGTTTGATGGCACTCGTAAGTTCAGCTAAACTGTTTATCTTTTAATTAATTAATTGAAATATTTTTGTTGGTCGTTTGGGTGGGGTGTGTAGTTTGAGAAAAGCTTTGCAAAGCAGAGAATAGCACGATCCTTTGTGACACAGACAGGTTGATGATAGCAAGAACAATCTGTGGTTTGCAAAAAACAAAATTCCCTATGTTGTCTTTAATTTAGTTTTGTATAATTGAGTCATCTAAATACTTGAGTCCAAATGTTTGCCTAAGCGTACTTCAACTGCAATTAACATTGGCACAATATTTATTTTTTAATGTATTTTCCATTTTACTTTTTTTTTGTTGTTGATTCTTTTGTTATTTACACAAAGTCACGATAAGCCTGCTGCTTAGCTTTCAGAACCTCGGACAGCGACAAAACAATTCTCAATGAAATTCAATGAAAGTTTAGCATAAAAAACGTAGTGTTTGTCAGTGTGATTTGATAACTCTTTTCTTATTTTGTATCATAGTTCATATTTATTTATATTTTTCATATTTTTTCTTATTATTATTTTTATCTTAATTAAGTGAGATGTTGGGTATTGATTCCTTCCATGGCTGCTCTTTAAAAATAATCCACCACTCAAAGTTTTCTACAGGATAATTCAAAAACCCCATAAAAAACATCTTCTTTTTAATAAAACTGCTACATCTATGGTGATAACAACACACTTCCCTTACATGAACTTTTATCCAGCGTCCTGAAATATGTTTCTAACACCTAGAGAAGGATGATAATAACGAGAGATTTCTGTTGAGACTTTAACCCCTATACCTATTGATCCAGCATCACTATACAAGTAAGAGCAGGCTGGTGTACAGTATGTCTAGTGGCAATCAAAAAAAAAAAAGTCCATGCTGCCTGCATGGGCACAAGCTCTGCTCCTACACAAGAGAATTAGAGTGGTTCTGTGCAGCACAAGTAGTTTGTCAAGCTCCAATGAGTAAGCTGCTGTCCTTGAGTTGGCGAGGTAGAGGAAATTAACGCTGGATCTGAAGTGCTGGATAGAGCGGACCTGGAGGCAGTAGAGCCTGACAGCACAAATTAGGTCTGATGGCCTGGTCAAGAGCAAATATTAGTGGAGAACTAAGTTTTATCGCTGTGGGATCCCCTTCGAGGTCATTCATTTCCCAGATAAGGGTTGTAGTGAGTGATAAATGGGTGAATGTTCCAGTAGGCAACTCTTTAACGTGATCTCCTTTGTATCCAGAGAAAAGGTTGATAGGTTTGCCGTTGGGACTTTAATGGAGAGTATTTGTTTAGATGTTTACAGCAGGTTTTATTGTGCACCTCACCTTTTCTGTATAACATGAGTTGCCAACGTTTTGACCCAAGTTTTGAGACTTTACAGTATTTACGTATCAAGTCTATTTACGGTGTTCAGAACAAAGGGGTTTTTTAAAAAAATATTTCAGTCAGGAAATAATTTTCCTATATTGGGAAGGCAGAGTTGTTTATATATATTATTCTATCTTTACAAGCATGTGAAAACTATGAGTAGCTGTGTTATGTGGTGATAGTGAGAGGATGACACCTCCTGCCAACCTTACAACTGCATCCAGGTGACTATTGTCACCACCCGTCCATCACCACTACTATAAGGTATGGGAGGGCTGCTTGTTATAAATGTTTTCATGTTGTCACCTGGTAATAACCATAGTCTTTTGAAGGGTTTCTCTTGTTTTGAACCACAAACAACACTGGCTTTTATTTTTTTTCCCATGTTTATAAAATTGCTGGCATCTTTTAAATGTTCAGTTGTTTATAGAATTTTAAATATTTCAGATTGCAATTTAATATGAAAAAAGGTTTAATGACCTTATTGGTACTGTCATTTATAAAACAGCATATGATATGTGTAGAACTGGGTTGAGTTCTTTGTTATCAATCTGGGATGGCTGCCGTTCAGTTTGTCCGTGAAAAGGAGGGATGTTTAGTACAATACT